GAGAAGGGGCGGGCGCGAAGCAGAGCCGCTAGTATGTGCAGGACAGAGCAGGAGCCAAACAGTCACCGGGGCGTGAAACTCCCGACCTACTCTGATTACCGCCTCCAACCACCGCTGGGAGAAACGAGCATGGCTGCCCCAGCAGCGGATGCAGCTGTGGCCCTCAGGAGGCAGGGCATTGCCTGCACGTGTGTAGCTCACTCAAAACCCTTTTCGGGAACATATTCAAGGAGTCATGATGCCTGTGAATGAAAACCTTTAACCTTCACTTCACTCAGCAGGCTGACCACACACCTCACAGGCCTCCGCACCGTGTGCGGAGCAAGGTGCACAGCGCCACTTACCAGAAGAGGCTTAGTTGCACATGGATGGTGGGTCACTTTCTACACCCAGCGCCACACAGTTACAGAACACTACCCAGATGTGGGGAGCTCTGGTAGCACAGTGCCTAAGGCATTTCACTGCTAACCAGAAGGCTAGAGGTTCGAACCCATCAGCCACTGCTGGGAAGGAAGGTTGGGCAATCTACTTCTATAGTGATACTGCCTCAAAAACCGAAGGAGGGGTCGCTATGAGTCGGGTCCGACTCGATGGCACATAACCACCACCACCACCCAGATGTGAGCAGAGCAGTCTGGAACAACTAAGGGAGACAAACTTGATGTCACTTTACGTCCTGCGGTGGCTTGTACTTTGCCATCAGGCTGGAGGCTGTGCCACTGGGTGTTTCAAATGCCAGCAGGGCTGCTCATGGTGGATGGGTTTCAACGGAACTTTGAGACTGAGACAGACTCAGGATAAGGAACAGGCCCATCCACTTCTAAAGAATGGGCCAGTGAAAGCCTTATGAATAAGCAGTCAAACACTGTCTATTACTGGAAAACTTTATGAATACCCCCGAAACACTGTCCAATACAGTTCTGGAAGATGAGCCCCTCAGGTCAGAAGGCACTCAAAATACGACTGTGAAGAGCTGAATCACCAGAGTAGAATCAGCCTTAATAATATGGATAAAGTAGAACTTTCGAGACCTCTGTTTGCTGACGTGGCATGACTCAAAAATGAGAAGAAATGGCTTCAAACATCCATTAATAATTGCAAAATGGAATGTACGAAGCATGAATCTAGGAAAATTGGAAGTTGTCAAAAATGAAATGGAATGCATAAAGTTCGATATCCTAGGCATTAGTGAGCTGAAATGGATTGGTTTTGGATATTTTAAATCAGATAGCCATATGATCTACTATGCCGGGAATGACAAGTTGAAGAGGAATGGCGTGGCACTCATCATCACAAAGGATGTTTCAAGATCTGTCCTGAAATACAATGCTGTCAGTGATACATTAATATCCATACACCTACCAGGAAGGCCAGTTAATACTATTGATTACTCAAATTTACGCACCAACCACCAAAGCCAAAGATGAGGAAATTGAAGATTTTTATCAACTTCTGCAGTCTGAAATTGACCGAATATGCAATCAAGATGTGTTAATTATCACTGGTGACTGGAATGCAAAACTTGGAATCAGAGAAGACTCACTGGTTGTTGGAAAATTTGGCCTTGATGATAGAAATAATGCTGGACATCACATGATAAAATTTTGCAAGACCAACGACTTACTCATTGCAAATACCTTTTTCAACAACACAAACGGCTATACACATGGATTCACCAGATGAAGTCACAAGAATAAGATTGATTCCATTTGTGGCAAGAGGCGATGGAAAAGCTCCACATCTTCAGCCAAAACCAGGCCAGGAGCTGATTGTGGAACAGACCATCAACTGCTCATATGCAAGTTCAACTTGAAGTTGAAGACAATTAAAACGAGTCCAAGAGAGCCAAAACATGACCCAGAATATATCCCTCCTGAATTTAGAGACCATCTAAAGAATAGAGTTGATATACTGAACACCAATGACCGAAAACCAGCAGAATTGTGGGATGACATCAAGAGCATCATCCATGAAGAAAGCAAGAAGTTGTTAAAAAGGAAAGGAAGAAAAGACCAAAATGGATGACAAGAGACTCCGAAACTTGCCCTTGGGTGAAGAGTAGCTAAAGCAAATGGAAGAAATTACAAGATAAAAGAGCTGAACAGAAGATTTCAAAGAGCAGCTCAAGCAGACAAAGCCAATTACTATAATGAAATGTGCAAAGATCTGGAGTTAGAAAACCAAAAGAGAACAACACACTCAGCATTTCTCAAGCTGAAAGAACTAAGGAAAACATTTAAGCCTCGAGTTGAAATACTGAAAAGATTGCATGGACGATATATTGAATGACACAGGAAGCATCAAAGGAAGATGGAAGGGATACACAGAGTCACTGCACCAAAAAGAACTGGTAGATCTTCATCCATTTCAGGAGGTGCCATAGGATCAAGAACCAATGGTACTGAAGGAAGAAGTCAAAGCTGCACTGAAGGAATTGGTGAAGAACAAGTCTCCAGGAATTGACAGACTACCAATTGAGATGTTTCAACAAACGGATACCATGCTGGAGGCACTCACTTGGCTATGCCAAGAGATATGGAACACAGCTACCGGGCCAACTGACTGGAAGAGATCCATATCTGCACCCATTCCAAAGAAAGGTGATCCCACAGAATGGGGAAATTATCGAACAATATCATTAATATCACATGCAAGTAAAATCTTGCTCAAGACAATTAAAAAATGACTTCAGCAGAGAATTTCCAGAAATGCAAGCTGGATTCAGAAGAGGACACGGAATGAGGGATGTTATTGTTGATGTCACATGGGTCTTGGCTGAAAGCAAAAATCACCAGAAAGATGTTTATTTGTGTTTAATCGACTATGTAAAAGCATTTGATTGTGTGGATCGTAACAAATTATGGATAACACTGAGAAGAACAGAAATTCCAGAACGCTTAATTGTACTCATGAGGAACCTGGCTCATAGACCAGGAGGCTGTCATTCGAACAGAACAAGGGGACACTGCATGGTTTAAAATCAAGAAGGGAGTGCCTCAGGGTTGTATCCTTTCATCATACTCATTCAATCTGTATGCTGAACAAATAATCCAAGAAAATGGACTATACAAAGAAGGATGTGGCATGAGGCTTGGAGGAAGACTCATTAACAAGCTATGATACACAGATAACACAATTTTGCTTTCTGAAAGAGGGGATGACTTGAAGCACTTAGTGATGAAGAATGAAGACCACAGTCTACAGTATGGATTAGACCTCAATATAAAGAAAACAAAAATCCTCACAACTGGACCAATACGCAGCACCATGATAGAGGAAGACAAGAGTGAAGCTGTCAGAGACTTCATATTACTTGGTTCTATAATCAACCAATGGAAGTACTGCACTGGGCAAATGTGCTCCAAAAGACCTCTGTCAAGTGCTGAAGAGCAAAGATATGTCCTTGAAGACTAGAAGAGCTGGACAATGAATAAGGAAGACTGAAGAAGAATTGATGCTTTTGAGTTCCGGTATTGGCAAAGAACGCTGAAAGTACCATGGATTGCAAAAAGAACTAACAAATCTGTCCTGGAGGAAGTGCAGCCAGAATGCTCCGTGGACGTGAGAATGGCCAGGCTTCATCTCACCTACTTTGCCCATATTGTCACAAGGGACCAAGGAGCTCTAGTGGCATATTGCCTAAGGCATGTGACTGCTAACCAGAAGGCTGGCAGTTCAAACCCACCAGGCACTCAACAGAAGGAAGACTGGGCAATCTAGTTCCGTAGAGATACTGCCTCAGAAATCCATGGAGGGTCACATGAGTCAGAACCAACTTGACAGCAGTGAGTTTGGTTTTCAGTTTTTAAGAAAGGACCATTCCCTGGAGAAGGATATCATCTTTGATAAAGCGGAGGGTCAACGAAAAAGGGGAAGGCCCTCAACAAGATGGACTGACGCAGCGGCTACAACGATGGGCTCAGGTATAGCAAGGATCGTGGGCCTGGCACAGGACCGGGCAGTGTTTCATTCTGCTGTGCACGGGGGGGCTGTGGGTTGGAGATGACTCGACAGCACCTAATGACAACCACCACCCACATGCTGTGGAACAGTGCAGCCAGAAGGCTCCTTGGAGGTGAGAATGGCAGACTTGGTCTCACCTATTTTGGTCATGTTGTTACAAGGGACTATTCCCTGGAGAAGGATGCCGTGCTTGGTCAGGTGAGGGGTCAGAGACAAAAAGGAAGACCCTCAAGCAGATGGACTGACATGGTGGCTGCACCAATGGGCTCAAGTTCAGCAAGTCTCGTGAGGATGGCGCAGGACCGGGCGGGGTTTCATTCTGTTCCACACAAGGTCACTAAGAGCCAACGCCGACTCAACAGCACCTAGCAACCACAACACACAAATGCGGCCTCACGCCCGGAAAACTCGCCTCTGCATAAACAGGCTCGTGTTTCAGAGGCAGTTCGGTGGCTTTGGCGTCCCAGGGCCTGTTGTGCTGCTTGGAAGAGCAAAAGGCCTCTGGGAAGAAGCAAGGCCCTCCCTGGCATTACCTCAGAAGGCACGAAGTGGCTGCAGGCTCCGGGGAAAGGCAGCACAAGTACGTGGAGCCAGCACCGGAGAACCCAGTGTCCTGCAGGTCACTAAAAATGCCTTCTCCCGGCAGGAATGGAACCTACTGCATGCCTTAAATGAACCCACATCACACTCGTGTTCAATGATTAAATGAGATCCTAAGCATGGTCCACTGTAAATCATCTGAGGTAATCCCACTAACGCATGCCTAGCTCTCACTGCCCAGTACGGCTCGTCCTGGGCCAAAGGCTGACCACACCCTTTCTCAGATGCAGACACATCCAGGGCCTACCTCTTCGGGCCGTCCTGAAGGGACCACGTTATCTTCATAAGCAGGGAACTGACAACCTGCTTTACAACTGCAAAAACGATTCGTCTCTTCCTCGCATGGTGCCACGATCCTGCAATTTGCTTGGGAGCTTCCTAAATCCCTCTGCACGGTCTCATTTGCGCGGCACTCCAGGCAGGGGCCTGGCTTTCCCACCTGCAGGACCCCGGCGGCCTCCTCCTGGGAGTCCAGGGACGTCTGGGCGCTCTTCTCCATGCCAGACTTCTTCAGGCGGGGGAGGAATCTCCCGGACTCGAGCTCCGACTTCCCGTAGTAGTGGCCCTCGTTCTGTGCGTCTTCTTCCAGGGGCTTGAGGTCGGCCTGGGGGTCCTGAAAGGTGTCGACCTGAGCTGGAGTGGGCAGACTGGCTTCCTCTTTCTCAGACTCGGACTCAGACCCGCTCCCACCGGGCGACAGCTCAGACGCAGGGATGGGGCGGAAGTGGGTCCGGGGGGAGATGCGGATGGCTCTGTACTGAGTCCTCTCAACACCACGTGCCCTGGGGTGGAACACCTCGCTGTCTGAGTCAGAGCAGAGGATGGATTTGGGCTTAAAACTGGGGCTGAAAGAAGCTATGCCTTCGGGTTCCAAGGAGCACTCGACGTGGAGGACCTGGGAGAGGGGGCTGCTCAGCTCCAGGGAGGAGAACGGGCACTCGAGCCCCGGCTCCTCAACTTGGAAGGTGCCGCACGCACCCAGCAAGTCCTCACGGAAGATGAAGGAAAACCCCTTATTCCAGCTGCCCTCCCCACTCCTGGGCAGCTCGTTCTGGTCAAAGGACACCAAGGGCCTCCACAGCTGCCTGTGGCCGGGAGCAAAGCTGTTTCCAGGCGTCATGAAGACATCGGTGCCGGCTATGGTGACGACATCGGAGGAGGCACACTGCAGCAGGCTGCTCCTAGTGGGGCCGGGCGGCACCACGGCCCACTCGGCCTCACTGAAGGTCTGCAGCTCCCCGTAGACCCCTCCCAGGATGAACGTGCTCTCCTTGCCCTGGGCCACATCCCAAGGCCGCGAGGGAGTCATGTAGTCGCTGCCGTCCACCTCGGCCGGCTCGCGGGGGGCGAAGGCGTGCTTCGGCAGGCCCCCCTTCTGACCCTCCCACAGGCGGTACTCGGACCTCTGCACGGCTCTGCTGGGCTCCCGGAGGCCCTCGGCCCCCAGCCCGGCATCCAGGCAGCAGCAGTAGTCGTTCGTGTCCGCGGAGAACGCCTCGCCGTCCATCCTCTGTGTGTCCACGGTGGCCACCGGGGTCCCGCCTGCCACGTGGGTCCAGATGCCCCCGCCCACCCCTGGCCGGTAGCCGCCGCCCCGCACGCTCTCAAAGCCTCCGCTGTCCGACCTGTGCTCCAGCTGGATCCCGCAGACAGACTCCAGCTTCGACTGCTTCTTGAAAACAAACGTGGGGCTCTCGCCCAGGGTCCTGCCGTTGTGCTGGCAAGCTTCATCTTGTAAGAAATCTAGCAGTTCTTCCTCTCCATAGTTTGACGGGACTCTGGGGACTCCGTAGTTAATATCGTCAGCATGAAACTGCGTGGACTCTTCCGACTGGATACCCAGCGTCTCGGTGTCGGAACGCGTCTCTTCTGAGTGGGACCAGGGGCTACACGTTCTCGTGGAAAGATTGGAACAGTGTCCATTCTCCTCAAAGGCACGATTTTTGGTCCATATCAGCAATCTAGACTGTGTCTTCCCAAGCCCGTCAGCACTACAGTCTGCATCTGCGTTTCCCAAGTTGAGGGTCTCAAAAGAGAACGGGAGGCCCGAGTCACTGCACTGCACTTCAAACACGGACAGACAAGCGTCCACAGCCGGCCCTTCAGGAGCATCCGGTAAGAGCTCCTGACTGCCGGCCGCCGCGTGTGAGCTGAGCATCGTGCCGTCCAGGAGTGGAGACAGCCGGGCTGGAGAGTCTCCCGCGAAGCTCTCGGCATCAGCGTCGCCGGAGCTGGACGAGCAGCAGTCCCAGAACTGAGCCAGGTCCTCGGCACCTCCCTGCAGGAGCAGGCCCTCGGCGCCCCCTGCGCCCGTGGGCTCTGTCCATATTGCACGCTGCCCTTGCACCTGCACCCCGTCCAGCACTATGCAGCATCCTGCCTCGAAGCCCGGCCCCTCTCCCCCTTTCTGCCGAATCAGGTTCAAGATCCGACTCTCCCCTTGCATTGATTCCGAGGCACCAGGATCCAACATGGATTGATCAATGTCCACTTCATAGAAGTGTGTGAATTCCGACAGATGAATGTCATCCGGGTAGTTAGTGTCCTCCGGCGGAGAACAGAACGCAGTCCCAGGGAGGTCAGCCGCCTCGCTGATGACTGCAGGCATTTCTACAAAATGACCGCCAACGAAGGTGCCAGCTGCGAGGTATGTCTTGTGAGCGCTGCTGCTGACACAGAGGCCACGCACGGCGTCCACCAGCTCCTCGTCGGCCTCTGGCGTCCGCGTGCTTGGCTCTGGCGGGTGGCGGTACGTGGTCTCCAGTTTGCTTTTTCTGCTCGAAGGTACAAAGTACTCTGCGATGGGCTCGGTGTACCACAGCGGCTCCTCTTTGTACTCCCTGTCATCCCTGCTCTCCACACACGGGGCCCTGCCCTCAGGGCCGCCGGCGTCTCGGAGCCCCAGCTCCTTCAGCGGCCTCCGGCCCCGTTTGCACAGCTGCTTGCCGGAGCCGCCCCCACCACCGCTGCTGCTGCTGCCGGTGCGCACGCTTCTGTCCGCCCTCTCGCCGCCCCTTGCGGGGAGCCGGCCCTGCCCGTCCCGCCCCTTCCTGACGCGTGCTTCTCGAGGCTTGTGCCTCACTTTGACACACTTGGCGGGCACCCTCGGCTCGCCCTGGGGGCCGCTAGAGCTTGAGCCGGCCTCGCTGGAGCCGGACGACCAGGAGCGAGGGCGGGCCTTGCCCTCCGGCCTGTGGCGGGCTGGCTTCTTGTGGGGCGCGGGCGGCTCTTCGGGGGCGCTGTTGCTCAGCGTGGTCTCCTTCTCACTCCCACTCCTGCCTGGGGCTGTCTCGCGGGTGCTGGAGGGCACTGCCCGGCCCCCTTCCCTGGTGGCCTCGCTCTCACTGTGGCCGTCCTTGGGGGAGGGTGTGGCCGTGCCGGCCGGGGCGGTGGAGGAGGGGCAGGAGGAGCTGGAATAGGAGCAGACTTTGGACTTGTTCCACACGGTCATGATCTCCTGCAGGCAGACAGGTTTCTCGGACAGCGGTGGGAACGCTTCATAGTACCTGAAAAACAGAGCCCAGGGTTCGAAGTGAGCAATCGGTGTGCGAGGCACGTGCAGAAACACGGCAGCCAGAGAAACGGGCACCTCAGCCCCTCTAATGCCCACTGCTGTCAGCACCATAACCCCTCTAATGCCCGCTGCTCTGAATGTTGGCAACTCAGCCCTTCCAGTGCCTGCTGCTCTGACCGTTGGCACCTACAACCCCTCTAGCCCCGCTGCTCTAACCATCGGCACCTAAAGCCCCACCTCTAACACAGTACAGTCAACTCTGCATAGAGATCGGCCCTGGAGCTATTGGGCCCTTTTCTGCTTGGTACTGTACTAGGCACAGCAGGAACATTCGGAAAACAAGACAACCATTTTGGCCTGCAAAGTTTAAGTTTGATTAAGAATGAAAGACGACAAAACACAGTAGAGAGAACTGCATCTTCTGACAAGAAACATCTGCACTTGACTCTCAGCTCAGAATCCCAGCTCAGCCACTTTACTGGCCCTGTGACCTTAGGTGAGTGACTGGACCTCTCTGTGGCCCAGCCCCATCTACAAACAGGCTGATAGTGGTCTCTGTTTCTCAGAGTTGCTGTGAGGAGCAAAGGGACAAACATGACACAGAGCAGGACCCCAGGGACCTCCGCTGTCACAGCGACCTGACCTAGGAGGTTCGTGAAGTACCTGCCTGGCACAAAGTGCCTAGAGAAGAGGTTCAGGAGACTCAGGGAAGGGGGAGTGTGGAGAAAACCCCAGAAAAGAAACACAGCCATTTGGCAAGGCCCCGTGAGGCCACCAGTGGGTGGGCACACTGTGTTCATGGAAGGACATCTGCTTAGATGCACTGGCCTGGGCAGATGGCCTGGAACTAGGGGAGCCTGCAGCCCAGACAGCAGTGTCTCACATGTGGGGTGCCCAGTGGCTGCTCACAGTTCCGGAGCAGGACAGACTGCCGTAAGAGCTCTCGGGTCAGTCTGGGGAGCTGCCGGAAATGGCGAGGGGTCTCACACCAAAGCAGTGGGCTGCCCAGCAGAGATGGGCCGTGAGGCTCCCGTGCAGCTTTAAATGCGCTAATGCTCACCTCCGAAGAATGGGAGGGATGCTCAGAGAAGACAGCACTAGCCCCATGACACACTTAGCTCAACACATCCAGGACGTCACCCTCAGCACGTCACGTCCACACGTGGCCAACACTCAGAAACGAGCAGGGCACTGTGTTGTGCCTTTTACGTCAAGGCTTTGAATCAGTGGGGAGGCCACACCCTGACAGCACATCTCCATCCAAACGGGCGCCCCCAGCAGTGCGGCTCTGAGCAAGCACCGAGCGCCCAGGTGCAGAGGAGTCAGCCCACGTGGCAGTGAGGGGTGTGCACGCGGGACAGCTGACCCGAAAGCCAGCTACTCACAGGATGAGGACAAGTGCCTGCAGGACACTGGGCCTCCAGGCGGGCAGGGCTTGCTCACGTCCCCTCTGCTCTCAGCAAAAGCACTCAGTGTCCTTGTTTTCAGAGCAAGAGCAACAGCCGCCTCCAAGGACCACGGGGACCCAAAGGCGCCAGCACAGGCACGGACCTGGTGACCCGAGCCTTGCCCATACCAGGAACACTTACAGACCACATGCTGAGGGGACACAGCCGCCCTCGTCTCCCTCGCTGCCGAGCACAGGGCCCACCATGCCCTCTGAACTGGGAAACGTGTGAACAACGGGAGGGCCACGTGTGCCGTGAGCCGCGCAGCAGCCACTCAGCCTCAGGAGCGCACAGCCCACCACGAGCACCATCACACATACATTTCCACCTGGTCCTTGGCCGTCGGGGACAGTTCTGCTTCTGGAGAGGATGAGTCCTCCAACTTTTTGTGAATCTTCTCTTCTGTTACAAAACAAACATCCAGAAAGATTAGTCTTCTATTTAATTAATGAGTGCTTTTAAAGTTTCCCAAATAACCATAATCCGAAGTTAAAGAGACCCCGCTGGCTTAAAGGGTGGGCTCTCCACAGCGTGCCCGGCTTCGTCCGGAGTGCTGGAGAGACGCTGGCTCAGCACATCGCAGCGACCGAGAGCGAGCACCCGTCCCCTCGCGGATGCACAGCTCCAGTGGTCTCGGTCCAGGCTCCACAGCCAACTGCTTATCACGGAGACCAGAGGGAGCACGTCGGCACACTCGCCGAAATTCCAAACCTGTCTCCTCACAAAGTTCTGAGCTTATGGGCTCAGCTGGGCCATCCTGCTCAACACTAAGTGGTACAGAAAATCCCTCCATGCAACCCACCCCCATTCAAGTCAAAGCAGGAGCAAAGGGCTCGGCTTCACACTACAGCCCGAGATGAAAACAAAAGGGATGGACACACATGCACACTACACACACACATACATGCACGCGCACACACACATACACACACCACACACACATGTGCACACATACCAACACACATGCTTATGCACAAGCATTGCATACATGAATGTATACATGCAGACATGCACACACAGGCAAGCCCACACATGCATATACACACATACCAAGACATTAGAGTCTCGATGCCAGAGCATGCATGCACACACATGCACACACTGAAGAAAACATGTACATACACATGTACAAACATGCACACACATTTGCACACACGTATATGTACCCACATACATAGACATGCATGTGCTCACGTGCAAGTGCGCATGCACACATGCATACCCAGATGTGTGGGCACACGTGTATGTACATAGATACACACTCTCTCACATGTACACATGAGCACACATGTGTGCACACGCTGGCCCTGAAGAGGCCTGGAAAACCCAAATGCTGACCCTGAAGTCGTAAGTCTGGCTTGGGGCAGGCAAAAAAGCCAAGGAAGGAAGGTCTGAGAGTCCGTGGACAAGAATGACATCATGAACCTGTCATGTCTGCCTTTCCCCAAACTTCTGGACCCACGACAGAAGCTTCTTTCAAACTTGGCACAGCTGGAAAGGGCAGAAACGAGCCCCCGCATGTAGAGAGTGGAAGGCCCCCCTAAGGAACGGGGACCGCTGTGACAGAGGCCCGGTGAGCCAGTGGCCCGTGTGGCTCTCACCTTGTTCACTCTGCAGGTCCTTCAGCCTACAGCACAGCTCTTCCACCAGGGACTCGATGCCAGAACTCTGCACGGGACAAGACACATGTCAGTGCCCACCCCCACTCCACAGGAGACACGAGACACTAGAGGCTCGATGCCGGAACTCTGCACGGGACAAGACACATGTCAGTGCCCACCCTCACTCCACAGGAGACACGAGACACTAGAGACTCGATGCTGGAACTCTGCACGGG